CAGATGTCGCATTTCCGACATGAGCTTCGCCTTTGTGAAACTCGCAAATGCGAGAAAACTATCACAGTTGCGAGGTCTCTTACAATCCTGCTTCCTTTGCAAAAGCGAAGAAATGCTCGAAATTGCGAGATGAGCTGATCGCAAATGCGATCAAATGGTCGCAAATGAGAAGTCAACCTCCGCTTGTCCCCATCGCAAATGCGAAGGTTTGTTCGCATTTGTGAACTTGGGCTGGCCCAACTTCTCTTCGCATTTGCAATGAGAAGCTCGCAAATACGAAACTTAACCTCGCATTTGCGAGGTTTGAGGCCTGCAACACAGCTGAAGAACACTAGCAATTTTTCTAAGTTTCAAATCATCTCGTAGCCCATCCGAAACTCACCCGTTCCCTCGGGGCTCCAAACCAAACATGTACACAAGTCTAAAAACATCATACGAACTTGCTCGTGCGATCAAATCGCCAAAATAACACCTAGAACTATGAATTTAGCACCAAATCACATGAAGTTCCTAAGAACACTTTGAAATTCCTACTTTTACAACCGGGCGTCCCAATCACGTCAAATCAGTTTCGTTTCTCACCAAATTTCACAGATAAGGTATAAAGATTATTTTGGACATGTATCGAGCTCCAGAACTAAAATAGGGATCCGATACTAACAAGATCAAACATTAACCAAATTCTTAAAACCATTTAATTTTTGTCTTTAAATTTTCATCAAAAATTCATTTCTCCAGTTAGGGACCTCGGAATTCGATTCCGGGCATACGCCCAGGTCCCATATTTCGATACGGACCCACCGAGACTATCAAAATACTTGTCCGGATCCGTTTACTTAAAACGTTGACCGAAGTCAATTAAATCAACTTTTAAAGGCAAACATTATTATTTTCATCAACTTTTAACATAGAAGCTTTCCGGAAACACTCCCAGATTGCGCGCACACAAATCGAGGAGGAATAAAATGAGGTACCGAAGGCCTCGAAACACGGAATAGAGTTCTAACACATAAGATGACCTTTTGGTCATCACATCGTTTTTTTCTTATTTGTAATCTGGCATTAAAAATCACTTTTTGTAGAAGATTGATCACATATAAACTATTTTTCATATGCAAACAAAAATACGTAACAAATGAGTTAATCAAACACAAAATGCCATCTTTTAAAGTATGTTTCTAATAAAATTATATTTGACAAAATTTAAATACTTTTCCAAAATAAGTATTTTAGAAGTTAGCCAATAGTTCGTTTTTTAAGAGGATACATTTTTTATTTACAGACATTAGTAACAAATAATCTAAACAAAAAATAGGGGTACAATCTATATTTATATATATTATTAAAAGGAATGAAGTTTAACCTAAGATTATGCCAAGTGGCAGCGTAAGAGAATGCCATGTGTTCATTTTTAGGACAAAACTTAGTTAATTAGTTATTAGTTTTAAATTTTAAATTAAAATATTTAAATATTATTATTTGAAGAAGGGATAGTTATTTATTCAATTCAAATAAGTAATTAATAATTAGGAAGTTACTATTAGAAATAAAATTTCTCATGGTTTCATAAGAACCTAAAATTAAGGAACACATCCCACGAACTCCCACCCCCCAAAATATGATATGCATCCCCTCCTTTTTTTATCCCTGAAATTCCTTAATAAATTAACTATGTATCATTCTTAAAGTTATTACAGATTTTTTACATTAATATTTTAAATTTTAAAAAATAAATTTTATTTATGCTTTTAAATTAAAAACAATTACAACTTCTATTCACGTTTTAGGATTATCCAATATATCTCCCAACCTAAACTCAAATTTAACCTCTATTATTGTTATCTAATTATCTTTGTTCCTCAAATATCTAAAAGAAAAGAAAGATGCTTAAGATGCGAAAACATGCTTTTTACCTTTATACGTAAGTAATTTTTGCTTATATATATTAAGTTGTTTATTTTATGCATTGAACTAGAAATTTTAAAACTGAATGTAATTTTGTCGGTTGTTTGAGAAGACTACATTTCAGCTTCTGGATACTTTTGCCCAGTTCCTTTGTTAATGCGTCGGTGTTTAAGTAGATTCAGGGTAAAATAAGTAGCGGTCTATTAGAATATTTGGACTTTATTTTTGCAGTCTATAGATTTAGTATTTTTAATTTATGATATTTGAATCATACGAATTTGTTTTTACAGATCATCTATTATGTACCAAAGATCAAGAACACCATCTTCTATACTTGAAAAAAATTATACGCTTCTTTCTTATGTTTCTAGATAAGAGCAGTTATCAAGAATTTTTAGCAACATAAGGTTAGATGTTCTTCTCTAAAAGAATCTCTTAATTAATCTTTGTTATTCTTCTATCATCATATTTAATTTTATAATTTAATTTGAAAATATTGTTCAGTATGCTTAATATTATGATATTTAAATTTTGGCTGCGGGAAAAATAAACTTACAACCAAAAGATATCCTTGGTAAGTTGGTAGGCTATATAGATTGTTCCTTTTAGATTATTAGGTAAGATACATATGCTATTTACATATAAATAATTTCAAATGTAGAAGTCTCTCCATTAAAAGTTTATTTTTCTTCTTGATACTATTTAAAATATACATATATGGAGGATCTCTTTGTAGTAGCAAAATGAATTGTGTTATGTTGAAGGAAACATATAAGGAAATGTGCATAAATTCAATGTATTTTTCGAGTTATTTGGGTGTATTAGCGTTGTACAAAATAATCTATCAGAAATAGTCTTTCTTTCCTACAAAGGTAGGGATAATATTTTCATATATCTTACTCTCACCAGACTCCATTTGTTGCTTACACTGGCCATATTATTGTTGTTACTGTTTTATTATTAGGGTGTTTAAGTTATTGGTTAATAGTAATACATTGTTACCTTCCTAAAAAGTATTAGATTTGAGCGTTGTTATAGTTAGCTTTTGAATTAGTATTGTCAGCTTTTAATGTGTGTGATTGGAGTTAGTTTTATTTATAATCAGATGATGGATAGCAGTGGTGGATTTATAATACATTAACTTGCAATGGAAGTTTTTGAAATGCAGAAAATGCAAAAAGTCATCAAGAAGGTTTCATTCTTCTTTTATATTTTTCTACTATTAGTTGAACAAATTTAGTGGCACCATTAACCATAATAGAATAGAAGTTCATACAGTATGTATTTGTTTAATCTGATTGAACACTTGCTTGGCAATATGTTTACGACCAAGTAAGTTTTCTCGGTTACCCTTCTCACATGAAGAATGTACATAATCTTTTTTAATTGGGTTTTACCTTAAATATTTTGAAATGTGTAGAACTATTTTGTATACATAAAAAGTACTGTTACGATGACTACTTTAACATCTAATTCTGTCTTTCATGCAAAGGTACATTATATTTTCTTTCTTTTTTCTTTGATTTGTTTAAAATTTAACACCAATAATAGCATCCTTTTTCAAAGTTTTTGTCGGGATACATTAATTAAAGAGAAGGTAAAGAGATGGATGAGAAGATTTTGCGGTGCAAATGGATAAATAAACGGATTTTTGATTAAGTTGTATTCGTTCAACATGAAACGAGAAATTGATTCTTCTGTATTAAAATTTTGAAATTCGTCTTGGTAATAGAAGTTCTAAATTTGAAATAAGAGTTCTGGCAGCTGACTGCTTTCACGAGCCAACAAATTTTAGAACAAAATTGAAAATATTTTTTTCATTTCATTTGAACAGTAAAACATTATATTTCATTTAGCCTAAATAATTATGCATGCACCTATTTAGTGAAATTTGAGTGCTAAAATGAATGAATGTAATATTACACGATATGCTATATAAGATATATCATATTTCTAATTTTATATAATAATTGTGGTTGTCGTCGAAATTCTCAAGTGAATTTTTTTATATTCTTCTTTCTCTTACTGATTGTGTTGTCTTACGATCGACACATATTCAGATTTTAAAAAGGCTTAATCTTAATCAAGAAATTGATTTTTTTTTTTCAAATGCTATTTAGTAGTAGATGTCAGTGCTATTTTTTTAGCATTGTCTTTTGTAAGTTTTGTCCTTATGGGTTAATAGTTTTAGCAATTCATGATAGAAGTGATGTGTTGTAAAATTTGCAAAGATGACAGAATTAGAGTGGCTTCAAGATGATTTCTTATATTTTCTTCTTTCTTTGTGCACCGTCTTGGCTTTTACTTTATTAAAGATACTATCCATTCATAATTTTTTTTGGTTCAGGAAACTCTAATGGACACTGCAAAAACAATGCAAAAATTTGTGAAAGATGGGTCATTTCAATGACCTACAGTTTAAAATTATGCAATTTATATCAGGAAGAAGTGTTCAAGTTCTTCACATTAGAGGTACATTGTATAATTTTCAAGTTGTCATGTGTAGAATGGTAACATGTAATGACTATACCTTTTAAAAGTAATTTATGTATCATTTCATATGGCTCATCAACTACATCAAATTCAAAAAGATTATCTACTGGATAAACTTACGGAGAAAAAATATTATGATACTTACACCAAACAAATGTAATACTATCAGTGCATGAAATGGTTGAATTATTCTTTTTGCCACAATTGATTAACTTTCACTTTATGATTTTTTCATAGAGATGGTTACCAATTTTTTCCACATTAAACATGTATCAATTCAATTTCGTATTTCACCAAGGGTTTGGTCAAAAGAACTAGAATTGTTATCTCATTATTGTACAATTCAAAGTTTCAGTTAGATCTTAAATATGGTATTCTTTAAATTATAGTTAACTAACTGAAAAAAATAATCGTCAATAAATAAAAAAAATAGACAAAGAAGGAGATAGAAATAATGGCATGTATTACTTTAATTATAAAATAAGATGAATTAAATAATACAAATAAATATTATTGGTTATTGATAAATGATCATGGAAATAAATCCTATTACAACTTAATATTCTTTGATACGATCTACTAGTTTTTCCTTACAACAATAATCTATTGCTATGTCTCCTTAAACCCTTTTCCATAACCACTGGTCTCTTCTTTAAACCTCTTTTTAGTTTTTTTTCTTCTTGTTCGCGTCTTAAAGCCGTTGAGAGACCTGCCGCCGAAACTCCTCTTTTTGGCGACGAAGAGAACATCCAAAACCTAATTCCTCTTTCATTTTCTTCCTTCTGAGTTCCGTTTTCTGCCATGGCTATGGATGGAGAACAGTCACACAAATCTCACAGGTCACGTCAATCTGGTCCCACCGCCAAGAAAAAATCAAAGTCCGATAAGAAAAAGAAAGGTGCTTCCGACGAAAATCAAAAGCAACATAACCCTAAGGTATTCTTTTCTATTTTCTTAATTATTTTTTGTTCTTATATTGTTATGTGCCTGGTTCGTCAACTCTATGTGGCTACAAGTCCGAAGTTTTTGTTTTGTTAAAATAATAGTAATTACTAGTGACTTATACTGTAAATGTGTAGGCATTTGCATTTAATTCGACGGTGAAAGCAAAGAAATTGCAAGCACGAGATACAGAGAAGGAACAGAAGAGGCTTCATGTCCCAACGATTGATCGGTCCACTGGAGAACCAGCTCCATATGTAATTGTAGTGCAGGGACCTCCCAAGGTTGTTGATATCATGTTTTTGTCATGCACAGTTTTGGTTAGATGTCGGGTTTTAGATTTGATGTTCTTATGGATTATGCTATTATAGGTTGGGAAGTCACTGCTAATTAAGACTCTTGTGAAGCATTACACTAAGCAAAATTTACCCGAAGTTCGAGGTCCCATCACTATAGTGTCAGGTATGGATTTTCATCACTTTTGCATCTTTTTTCACTGAATGCTTACTTTACTTGAGCCTTGTTCTTAAATCCTGGAAAGCACATTTTGGTACTTTTCTATGCAGTTCGCCTTTGGCAATATTGGTAATGGCCAGAAGTAAGACATGTTTTTGTTTTTGGTCCCAAAATAAGGTGTCAGCTTTATCAATTAGCAAAGTAGCTATACATGCAGTATTGCCATAACCATACTCTATTGTAGCTTACTTGGATAACCAAATTCTATTTTAGTTTACTTGGTTCTTTTGTATTGGAAAATTATCGAATCCATTTGTGTATCTGTAGGTAAGCAGAGACGTTTGCAGTTTATAGAGTGTCCAAATGATATCAATGGAATGATTGATGTGGCAAAGTTTGCGGATTTGGCATTACTTCTCATTGATGGTAGCTATGGCTTTGAAATGGTGAGCTTTTGTTTCTTCAGAATAGAAAGACCTTATAGGATAATATAAGATTGTTCTAGTTTTCTCTCATTGAGCATGTAGCAACTCCTCTAATCTATGGATGGATTCAGAGTGAGTTACGTGAGATTTAATTATACGCTGATCCTATTATCATTAATGTAACGTTCTTGAATTTTCTGTCTTTCAAAACCATTTTACTTGACATGCCTTTTCTGATGACATGCCAAAATTATTAATTCTTCTAGAGATCATAATACATTATTACTCTATGCGTCCTTTATGAGTTTCAAGAATTCAAATGTAAACCATGATATCCACTATGGCACCTAATCACATTCAATAACTAGTTTCAATTTTATCTTCTGACACTATCACTTTAATATGCAAGTCAAGCTAACTATTTTATTGTGTGCTTGATCAAAATCTCTCATAGAATAGCAGAGGGAGTATCAGTTTGATTCCTTCACCAACTTAATTTGTTATCTTAAAATTGACATTTGTTGCATTCTTCTGTCTTGGTCACCAAGGGAATGTGGTTAATTATGGGGGTTATATTCTTTCTCTAGTACCTTTCACATTTACGTATTGGTGATTGCCGTCTACTTTACCGCCTCTAGGAAAAGGAATTTTTTTCAGCTGCTATTTTTTGTTGGTAGACCTTGTGATTGATTTAATCATTTTTGCAGGAGACCTTTGAATTCCTTAACATAATGCAAAATCATGGATTTCCTAAAGTTATGGGTGTTCTTACACATCTCGACCAGTTCAAGGATGTTAAGAAGCTTAAAAAGACAAAGCAACGGTTAAAGCATAGATTCTGGACTGAGATATATGACGGAGCTAAATTATTTTATTTGTCTGGTCTTATCCATGGAAAGTAAGTCACTGGCTTCCATATTTGAAAATGACATGTGTGGCATGCAGCTATAATTTAGTGAAATATTTCAATTTAGTTTCTGAAACAACTTTTTAAATGTATAGGTACTCTAAACGTGAAGTGCATAATCTTGCGCGGTTTATCTCTGTCATGAAGTTTCCTCCTTTGTCCTGGCGCATGTCCCATCCTTACATTGTTGTAGATCGATTTGAAGATGTAACTCCTCCCGAAAAAGTGCGCATGGACAGCAAGTGTGACAGAAATATCATTCTGTACGGTTATCTTCGTGGATGTAATTTGATGAAAGGAGCAAAGGTCTGTGATGGGAATGCTTTATTTCTTTTTTCTTTTCAATTATTTGTCAGCGAATAACCTTTAGTGCTACTTGTCATGTAAAATTGTGATATCACTATTAAAGCAAAGATTCATGTATCCTTTAAGGTCAATTGCAAGTTATATAGCTGCTGCGAGATCGCATAGCATTATGCCTAAAGTCTTATGAATTCTGGTTGGCTCTATCGGGCTACAAATAGATAAACTTTAAGAGTGACAATACCATGGAGATGGTTCAAAGATTTAGAGAAAATCATCACACTTAACATTCAAATGCATATCGTGTATCTAATGGATATAATTGTTGGAACTCCCTCTTTAGTTTGAGAAATTTCTAGAGCCATGCCGGCCTGTAGAGTGTGGACCTTTTGGAATGAAAGGAATATAAGGTGCTTTGAATACTAGACTACAATAGTACATATTTTGAAGTATAGGTGCTCAGTGCTGTCATAGGTATAAAGCTCTAAAAAGCGCTCTAGGTTTATTAGAGTTTTAATCAAAACAAACTTTAAGTGTGGGCTTTTAGTAAAAGAAGGCGCAATGAAGGTAAAAAACAAAAATATATATGTAATTCAAATTTGTTCATGATGTTTTCCTGTAGAGCTAATGCACTCATTTTCCGACTATGTTTGTTGTTTAGTGCCACTTGATTCAGGGTAAAACTCATGGGCTATGAGGTTCATGTCTTAGTGCCTTGCCTTAGGCTGAAGCGCAGCTTAAGCAAGGCGAAGATGAGCTTTTCCGAGCTTCAGGGCTTAAGCTAAATGAGCCTTTGACAACACTGTATGTGCTTAGGGCCTTTGGCTTTTTGGCGTAAATGTGACATCATATATGAGAAGGAAAATATGATAGTATCTATCAATCTTTTGCAGATTTTGTACAAGGAACCTTTTGTAGCGTCCAACGCTACCTTAGTGCTTGGCTATTTCAATTGTGAATAATATTTGCTTGTCAAAAAAGCTCGTGAATTCTACTGGTAGATGTTCTAGTAAAGGGGGGGGGGGGGAAAAAA